AACCGAATGAAAAAAATAAAATCATTTGAAATACAACGTGTTAATTGCAAAAGTTGTGAAAAGTAAATGAAACTCTTTCTTTTTGTACTCCAAGTTTTTTCATTTACAATGTCATTCTAACGCTAAAAGAGACAAAAATCACCTTTTCTCGTTTAAAAAAATTAGTATCCATCATCCAGTTGTCTTACTTACCTTTTTTGAACTAAATATTTTTTCTTTACAATCACTAACTTCATAATAACACAAAATATTAAAAATCAGAAGAAAACAACGCGTTTTTAAAAACCCTACAATATACCCTCGCCATCCGCACAATTGTCATCATATCAAAAAATGCCATTTTTCATTATCTTCCCGAATCGTTATCAATTGCTCCATCTTCAACTCTAAATTTTAATCAACCAATGTACAAACCACGCCGTTAAAAAAATCCATCGATCCTCCCAAAAACCCTCTACCGTGCACTCTCTTTTTGCGAGTGAAATATAGCCATCAGACGGAAAAAACGAAAACCAGAAGAAGAAAAAAACCACCACAGTGTAGCAGCAGAATATACACGCCCAGCATGCGGGTGCTGTCCATATGACCCGCGTGCGTGCAGTAACCCCCGTAACCCACATGCAACATATATATTATCCGTGGTATTCTCCGTCTCTAAAGTGCTTTCAATATACGTATTCCGCCGACACACGCACTTTCTCGAATAAATGGCCAAGAGCTCGAGTGTCGTGTCACTCGATAAACCGCAGAAAGAGATAGAGAGGGATCCTAGATGTTTTGTCAAGCTACTCTATATATTTTGCAGCGGTAGAGCAACAGTAGCGGGGACGGAAAGCCATTGTTTCACGTAACGATGCAGCTGTACATTATACATATACATATATATTCTTTGCAATGCTTTAGAGTTGGCGGCGTCTGTTGTGCTTTAGCGGTGGTAACGACACACGACACTCTCTCTCGTATCGGATTTTGGCGTGTGGTTTCCCTCAGCCCCTATTTTTTTTGGAAATCGTATTTAAAACTTAGAGTGCGCTTTTATCTTCATCTCGATGTAATGTGTAAGTATGTGGAGAATATTTTTTATCATGATACACATACGTTAAAATGATACAATGAGGTTTCACGCATATCTTCCAATATCATGTAGATATTTAAGTTGTTCAGGCCATGAGCCCCCCACAGCCCCTCACTAGCCCCCCACAAAATAAGATTGTAAAGTTTATTTAATTTCTCCGTATTAATCCAACAAAATTTTGGTCGAGCCCCCCCACGGCCCCCAAATACTAGAAAAAAAGGAACCCGTCCAAAATTTTGGCCTCGATCCGTTTTCCACACTTAACTCTTTTCTCGTTAATGTCACAAGTGCACACATTCAATAAAGATCAGGCTAGAACCATCCGTTTGCCCACATCGTTAGCGTATCGTTACATTCCCTATTTGCTTCTACAAACATAAATACACGTACCATGTACGCACGTAGGCACATACCTTTGCACATGCGTCTATTACGTTCCCAAAATCGGTGTCATAAGTCAATGCTAACATTTGCGCGCGTTAATGTCCCTTTGTCCTGTGTATCTATGCGTGAATAAATATATACTCACGTGTATACGTAACTATGACACATGGGTCATTTAACGAAAAATTAAATTTTCCATCTCCCAATCGATGGAAACGTCATAGAAAACTTTTCTGATGAACGGTAAGCTTTAAATAATAAAAAATGATACATTTAGTTTTGATACGGTCAGTCTCTCTCGAAAATAATATTACGATAGTGGCACTTGGTTAGTGAAGTCACAAATAATTGTAACAAAAAATACGTATTTGGAAAATTTAAAAACACCTTTTAGGTTTTCGTGAAATGACCCATATATATATTTATGTGTGCACGGACTCGAGTGGTATAGGGTCAGTGACACACGGCCGTTGTCGTCATTGTCATGTGAGCCAATGTTTTGGCATCGGCTTTTCACACTCTGATTACATTATACGTCGACGTTGCGCATGAATATATATATATATATACAAGTAACCAAGAGGCAAATACAATATATCAGCAGCTCAAGCCAAATCGTCTGTAGTATATGTACATACACATACATGGGTATATGGAAAATCGTTTACGGACGAGGGATCGATATTTTCTTCATCTCCCCTTTCGTTTTCCGTTTTTTTTCTCTGTTGCACCGTGCGGGTGTGTATATTTACGTCCGACGGTCATATACTATACACTCTGTTGTTCTTCTTCGCGTCCGTGTACACCGGAACATCGAACTCCGAGATGTACGTACGTATACGGACCCGATCTATATAGATTTCCGATACGTCGCAAACTCGATTTTTCCTATTTGTTCCTTTTCCCTTGTCTCTCTCTGTACACTGTATACATGTAGGTTGGATACGCCTTTGGGCAATCCAGAGCCAATAACCATCAGAGGAAACGTCCGCACTTTGCTCCCTCCCGCACCTATATGTATATACGTATACCAACGATGTTTTATCGATCGGCCCAATTTGCATTTCCCTATCTCTTTCTCTTTGTTTTCTTGATGCTTTTCGCTCATCGATCAACTTTTATTGCTTTTTTAAAGGAAAAAAAAAAGTTTGAATGGCTCTTTTTTTTTTTTTTTTTTTTTTTTTTTTTCTGCACGGGCCTCTCAAACCAGCGGGAAGAGCCATTACCTTACTGAGTTATTGTCACGTCTTTTAGGTTCAATCACATAATGGTTCTAATGGAAGTAAACACTTGATGAATATTGACCCTTAGTCTTGAATGTACATTGAAAAAGTGGCTTTTTATTTGACAAGTATTTTATTCAGTTGACGCGTTTTAATGATAGATTTTTTTATGTGTGAGAATGTACAATTCGTGACACATGATGAGAGTCGATACTATCATTGCAAAACTTTTGTTCAAACTGAGGAAAATTATACTTTCTTTTCAAATTATTTCAAAACATGACAAACGTTTCATCAGTAGCCATTTCAAGTAATATAATTATACATTGCGATTGATCAAAATTAATTAAGTAGACCGATGAACCAAGTGAGAGCGTATCATGCAGATTTATTTAATCTTTTCTTACTAACAAAGTTTTCATTTGGATTACTTTTTCCCTTGAATTTTTAAACAAAGAAGTAAGCGCCAAATGGCTTATACATCTCAAATAAGTTTAATTTGTTTGACCTTTTTTATTCCCAAATAACGAGGGGAATCCCAATTTTAGAGTTTATCTTCATTATCAATGGAAAAGCAGTTTGAGTTACAATTGTGATGATTTTTTATTTTCATACGAAAGATCGCAGCCAAACATCAACCAAAACATCAGCGTTCCCGTAAAAAAAAAAAAAAAAAAAAAAAAAAAAAAAAAACACTACCGTTCTGTACACCAAAGTACGATTACAAAACTCGATGAAAAGCTCACCATCGCAAAATCAGGGTCCATTCTACTCTCGCTCATCTACAAAAATCACCAAGGCGCCTCGTTGGTCCTGACAAACGTTCAAGAAGCAAACATCCTTTGCGCAACAAAAAAAAAAAAAAAAAAAAGAAACAAACCCTCATCATCCCTATGGTAACTCATTCAAAATCGCGTCAGAGCGCGAGAGCGCTACAGAGAGAGGATAAACGATCAGCTCGACTTTCTCGGCCAGCACACGCTTTCTGCGCATAGAATACGGAATTTGAAGAATTGTGCGGCAGAGCGAACTTTTTTGGAGCCTTGATTTTTAAAACGCTGTTCGCTCTACGCCCACGGACATACACTTTTTTATCCATATTTAACATGTAAAGGCACGCGAGTTCTGCAGCAGTTGTGGTATTTGCATTGAAAACGTTGTTGCAGCTCGTGGATAAAACCACAGGGAAAAAAAGCGCATCTTTCTCGCTTTCGTCCGAAATACAACACAACACTGTCCTTGTGTGGCTCTTATTTGTGGACGGGTTTTGAGGTTATGTCACAATAGCTGGATTTTCAATAAAAATTACGCTCCTCAAGGGCTTGCGCTTACGTTAATTTGTGTCAGCCTTTCATTCCGTATTGTTAAAGTGAGCGTTATTCTCCAATACCATGTGAAAATCAACGAAAATTGGATTCTGCCTGTGAAGGGTTATTTCGTGTACAACCCTATAGGAATGGTGGCATTAGAAATACAGGATAAGAGCCCCGGTGATTTCTCACCCGGAAAAAAAATATGTAAGTATACGTGCTCGTTAGACGGATTCTTGCAGTGGCAGAACAACTTTTTCGTTCTTTTGTTTGTTTTTTTTTCTTCTCGAGATCGTTAAAAATTCACCTTGTTAGAAAACCGACTCGAAGAGTCAACATAAGCGAGCACACAGGGAGAAAATTCTTTGCCAAAGTTTTCGTTTGTATATTCACGTGGGCAAACTCTCTACAATAATGAGCGCCACACAGCTGAAGGTGAAGGGAAAATTCGCCAACTTTGATACCTGCTGCGCACATAATCGCTATATTACTATGACCGCACCGTAAGTGACTAACTTGCCAGGATCGCTGGTCCAACGAGAAGACGAAAATGCAAAGGATCGGCCACGTAAGCCGATCGGACCTTTGAGTTGCTGTTTTAGACAAAGAAACCAATTTTACGCGCGCAATAAATTTACCGGTAAATTTGTCCTTTGCAACAGGGGCATGCCATTATATTGCAGAACTTGCTAATCATTCAAGTTTTTTTTTTCTTTGTTTTTAGAAATTTTTTACGTGTAAGACTAAACTTCAAGTTTTTGTATCATTCAACCATTTACTTCATCAAATGCTAGACATTGTCTTTTTTTGTCACAAAAATTGTTTACTTTCTATAACAAGCTAAATGTAATGAGGTAAAAAAAAAAAAAATCGTTTGCTCGAAATGACCCGTGAGATTTCTAAGTGGATTCACCACAGATAACATTTGGATTCCACGTGCAATAGGAAATCACGCGATATTTTCATGGGAAATTCCACGACAAGTACTTCGAAGTGGTAGGTACTTACGCCCTCTTTGGTGGAGGTGATCAGTCGCTTGCTCCTGCCATGGTAGGTCCTTGGCCTGACGACCGCGTGTGTGCTGAAGTCTCGGGACGGACCTGCAAACGGAAAAAGAAGAACACATGAAAAATTACGGCTGCACGGTGGTACGTTTTCTTTGGATATACTGTTGGGGGAGAATCGTAAGGTCGGGTGGGTATGCGAGGGGAGGAGAATTTTCACTCGAGCTGATGGGCAAATGCAATGCGACTCGTGCGTTCTTGAATTATGCCATTTTTATGCTCTACGCGTGAATAAAGGAAGACGTACGCGCTTCACAGCGTCGTAGAAGCGATGTACTCCTGTGAGCTGGAAAAGTTGTTCAATGCTTTTAATGTTCGAACGCTTTATTTTTTTTTTTTTTTTTTTTTTTTTTTTTTTTTCTCTCAACTCCATCGAGCCTATTGAGTTCAGTGAACTGTATACAGTACTTCATTGGAATAATAATACTATACGTGCGTTATGTACGAGGGTGTATTTTTATACGGTAAAAGAGAAAATTTTTCATTTTTGACATGCCTGAATTTTATTGAAAAAAATGGTCCATGCATTGAAATGGCTGTGTCAAAGAATTGTGACTTTGTTAATTCACGTGATGAGTTTTTTTGAAAATGGCAACAGAATCAAGTCCAAAGTTTACCAGCCTGTTTGTATTCCCATCTAAAACTACGTGCTAAATAAAAAAATTCCCTTTTTACCATTGGTAACGAAACATCGCACTGTTCATCAAACCACCCACCCGCGAAATACTAAACCCGAAATGTGATACAATTTTGCCTCACTGTAACGAAGAACCAATTAAAATCTCAAAAACTGCAACTCGACTATACATACACCTAAATGTCCGTTTCGTTCCATTAAGCACGCGGAACGCAATGTCCCAACAAAGGCAGCACAAAATGATAACAATGTTCTTCCCACGGGGGAAAGTGCATTAGAGTCCTTTTACTTAAAACACACCCCCCCTGGAGAACAAGAGTCCGCACCGTAAAGTAGTTCGCGCAACGCGATACGATGTCGCTGGCTGATTAACGCGCTAAAAGCAAAGATACACACACACGCACACCTACCACGCGCAACTACATATTGCAACAATGTAGGAAGGTTGGAAATATTGCGTGTACGCGTATATATACGTGGTGTAAGTTACGGCGATGTTATTTGCCTCTGTATATGTATTGCGTGGGTGCGGGACGGAAGCCCGGGAATTCGTCACTGCAATTTCGAGAGGTAGGGTATGATGGAAAATGTCGAGCGCGCTTGTCATCTCTTCTGCGTGCCAAACGTATTTTGCTCGCGGCGAACAGAATTTGAAAAATCATGTGACTTTCGTTCGAGTTGAACGTGATGTTTTGACGTGAAAAAATTCACGGGGATACATAGTTGCACGACAAACGGGAGCTTCTATTTTCGTTCATTCGAAAAGCCAGGGGGTCGACGATGGTGATGTGTTTTTTCAAATATCGACAAACATACGCCGTGCGATGGAAATTACAAAACTGGTTGATTGATGGCGAGCATGGGTTATGGTGTAGTCGTTTTTGTACACAACGATACATCGCTGCCAACTGCAGCTGGCTTTGAAAAATCGTTGGATATCGAAAACCGCGCAACGGTTCTTGATGCGTGTGAAATCCGTTTAGACTGGAATCGAATTTTGCCGCTCGAATGGCAATCAAGTAACGAAGTTTTACCTTCGATCTAGAACTTGGAATTGATTAAATCGATACGCGCGGATGGAAGAGAAATTATTGAAGTGAAACTTCTCGTGGTGCAGCTGTAGATTGGCTTTTCAAACAAGGAAAAGAAAAATAAGTAGTGGTGGTGTATTTGTTCTTTTTTTAAACTATTTTTGAAGATGGAAAAAAAAGAGTTTGCTTATAACATTTTTGAAACACGTACACACTTAAAACAAAAATTACAATGCCCTTGCAGTGAAGTAAAACTTCACCAGCACCGTAATTTATTTAGCGGATTCTATATCCTGTCAAACTGTTTGTCACCGGTTCTATTTTTTAATTTACAATAATCATTTGACTGTGTGTGATTGGGCATAGAATAAACAATTAATATTTGTCATTTTGTGGAAAATTAAGAAATAATAACAAGTACGTTATTTTAGCGGCCCATACACGCTTTTAAGGGCTAAAAAGAACCATCACTTACGTTCACTTTCAAAAACGTGAATGGCTTGTTTTCATAGGAGCTTTTCAAACAAAACAAAGTGAAACATGCTTCTAATGAAAAAAATAAACAACTCATGGTTATTTCGTCCAAAAATGTTGCATCTCTGGTTTTAACGATTAAAACTATAAATTTTTCAGTAACAGTTTTTTATGCATGCTGATTTGGAAAACAACTCATAATTTTTATAATAAAAAAACCATGAAGATTAAAATGTAATAGGGTTATTCTCAAAGTCATCTCTTAAGTAAATCGTGTACATGTTTTTGGAAATCCTAAGACAGTGTACGCGAGGCTCAAGGTTTAGTGCGCATATTGTATATTTTTTATATTGTTTAATTAAAATAATCCATCACGAGGGATACATGTAGATATTTTAAGGGTAGTTTTTATCTGTTCTGATTGATTTGACTTCTAAAAATTTCTCATGAAAAAGGTGATGTACCTCGTATAGTTGAAATTTTTATTTTTTGCTTCGATTTTAAATATTGATTAAAACAAATTTTTTTTGTCGGTCTTTATTACTTATTCATTAACCACCTAATAACAAATACATACAATTAATTACATATGCATGAAAAAGTTTTAGCTGTGTATCAATAACTCTATATTCAATAAACGCAACTTATGATGTAAAGAGCAATAACTTAATTTAAAAAAAAAAATCATCACAAAGTTTTTTTTTTCATGCGCAAAGCACGTAGAATAATTTAAAAAATCTCATACAGAAGATTCAAATGCGAGACGAGGCGAGCGGAGGGAAAAAAAAAATGTACGCACGTACACGTGTTCCCCGCGTCGCAAATGAAAAAATTCCGCGACGTACATCATCAAAAGAACCAACGCATACTATATGCGTCCTTCACTCGGGTGGGAGCCCACTTCATTCGATCTTGGTACAGGTATATTTGTCGTATCCCCGCGTAACTGTACATAGAGACGTGCAGGCGCACGATTTTTGACGTATACCCACACGCTAAAATAAAAAAAAATAAAAAATACCCACGTAACCAAGGACGTTTCGCTTCATGCATACCCATACTAGCATCTACGGTTTTATGGAAAAATAATGACGCTGGTACCTAAAACAGTGTATAATTAAGTCTTGCACTTGAGGGGGAGAAAGTAAGAAGCTGCAGACGAAGGGGTAAAAAAAGAAGAGGATAAGAGGTGATGTGAATCGGCTCTTCGGGTCGTTAAATTATGCAGGACGCGACGCCTCGGCAGTTTTAAGTTTTCCCGGGAGGAAAAGAAAAAAACAATGCACACAAGTACGGGTGTGCGTATCTACACTATCTCTTTCTCTCGGCTTGCGTGGACTTCCTTTAAATTTAATTTGAATTTGAAACCCCACCCGCAGCAACAACTTCTCGCGTGCTCTCCTCCTCCTTTTCATAATTTATAACACTTTTTTTCCTCGGCTCCGAATCCCCGCGTGTCCCCCCCCCCCACTTAATTTTGTTTCTATCCTGTCTACAGGCTTTTTCCTTCTCTTTCCGATTCGTTTGATTATTCAAGCAGCTATATATACAAAAGTGCAGTGCTCCCATATATAATTACTCTCTTTGTTGAATTTTTTTTCTGATGTGGACGTACTTTAAACATCAGTCCATCTTATCGCGGTAATGGATTATTGATTGAATTTTTAAGTACAATCACCAAACTTTTCGTAATTACATATCATATTTTTTTTTTTTTTTTTTTTTTTTTTTTTATTTTTTCCGTCTCCTCCTTGAGCAGAACTAGTTTTCCAGCGGCGCAATTAGCCCTCGAGTAAAAAAATCCATGAGGTTCAGCTGTTTGATGAGTTAATACCGGTTCACGTGGCATTAAAAGGCGAGCTTTTGGATGGATCAAGTCAGCTTCACTGTATTAAATTTGAGATTAAAAATAAAACCAATCGGTCAGTATTAATTGGAAAAATTGTACGCGATGGGTCAAGTCCACATAAAAATTTTGCGATGAGAATATAAATAAAACGCACGAAGCTTCTGTTGGAGAAAAAAAATCACAAACTCGAGGTAAAAAACTCGATTGGCTTTCGCTGAGTCACGTGATGTAAAATAAATAGGTGAGCTTTTCAAAAAACGTTATTGTAAGCATAAACAAGAAGATTGAAACTCTCAAACATGAGATTGGACCCATAACAATATAAATCAGAAAAAAATGTTGCAAGGCACGTTATTACTTTACCGCGACTAATCATCGTAAAAAAAAAAAAAAAAAAAACAACAACAGTAGTTATAATAATAATAATAATAAGCTTTAAGCTCGAGATGAAAGATGATACTGCACCGCGTGGGGAACAAAGTGTTTGTATAAGCCGCGTAATTAAGATACAAAGTTTCCCCTAAATACCGCGTTTGCACACTAAGCCCACAAGAGAGTGTATTATACACGCGTGCACTCCAAAGTTACACAAGCCCTCCCTCGGATTCCCTCATTAATTGCACACGGATCGAATAACTGGTGCATGTACACGTTGTATATGTATATACATATTATTATTATTATTATTATGTGGTCCAGACGCTCTTTGTTCGCTCAATGCACGCTGCCGGCCAAGTTAAATAATCGTAGGCTCATTATACTGCAAAATCAGTTCTGGAGCGAGGGAGAGAGAGCTACCGATAAGTATAGACGCCCAGGGTTGGGGGGTAAATTTATACGGGAGAAGCAGAGACGGGGCGTCTCGATTTCCATGGATTATTGCTTTCCGGCTGTATATACCTACAGCATACCCGAGGTGGATGCAAATTCTGTCTGCGCGGATTTTGGCTTGTTGTTTTGTCTATGTATGTATGTATATATGTAGGGTGTACGTGGAAGCCCCGAGAGGAACTTTTGTCCTATGCTGTTTCTTTTTACTTTTGTT